CCGATCTGGTGTTCTGCCAGAACATATAATACACTCCACCTTTCTGTGTTACTTTGCATTCCTAACAAAATCCAGAAGGAAAATAACATAACTAATATTTTTACAGAGAGAAGAAAAAAGCATTATCAATCCCATTTTGTTTTTAAAAGTACCTTCTCTGAAACTTCCCCAGATTGGGGTACATTCTCATAGTTCTTATACTGTTCTATTCTAGACTGTCTATACTTATCCCGCGATATGCTCAGCTTCTTCCATGGGATTCCTTGGATATCCTTCCCTTTCCGTGCTTCAGCAGCTGAAGCATCAGTTATCTCCCCCTAATCCCATAATTTTAAGTTCAGACATATTGCCAATAGCAAAACAAGCAATCAAAGCTTAGAAAAATATCAAATTATGGACATCCAAGACCACGCCTGCAAAACTAGTGAGTGCAGATTGAACTCACCAAACTGTCGTGATCATCCTCAACCGCCTCGTTCGATTCCGTGTCTCCCATTATTCGACCACCATCATACAAATCATCTTCTACTACACCCATCTCATAATCAGCAGCTGCATAATCCATTTCTTCCTCTTGATACAACATATGCCGGTAGCTAACTTCACCTAGTTAGCTGCAGGAACAGTCATTGCTTAATAAGAAAAGCGTGTACGGTGACAAAAACCGGGCAAAATCCCTGTTTAACAGAACAACAAGATGTTCATGTCCGTAGTAACAAAAAACAAAAACAAACAAACAAGCGCACATATACAAATTCTGAATGAAATTAAAGTGTAAGTCATGGGTGATAGGGATTATAATACCGACCCGTTCCGGTTTAGTAAAGGCCCATAATGTTAGGCCGAACGAACCGAGGGACCGACCACGAGTATAGGGCCGAGCCATGCAAGGGATTCGACCTAGTGATGGTGGGTCGAGAGGGGTTCAACCGTTTTAGTGGTTAACCCTCTCGACCCTTAGCCCCTTTGACCCACGCGACCCCCAACCCTATCGACCCTTAGACCCTTTAACCCCCTCGACCCATGTAAGGGTCTTGACCCATCGACCCATTGGGCCTAACGGTCGACACACGTAGGAGTACATGGAATAAGGCCAATTCGACCCACGAGAGGGTCGAACCATGAGATTAGAGTCGACCCATGAGAAGGGGTCGAACACCAACTCGGGCTTGACCCTTAGTAATGCTGATTACTACGTAGTCCGTACGACTAAATACTATATATACAATAAATTCCAGAGTAGAAGGTAAGACTTCATTAATATCATTACTACAACATTTATTACACACAATTCTCTCTCTAAATCCGAGATCCTAACTTGGGCTTTGGAGGGTTTGCGCCGGAGAAATTCTGGCGCGCTTTCAGGTAACGGAGAACACACAAGCTCGGGCCGAACCGAATCAAGTGAACCAACGCCATAACCAGGAAGAACCTTCCGTAAAACCGGAGCCACCGATCTCGGACCATATCACCTATCTCGGACCATATCAGTGGGTTTTCTTTTCACCGGCATTAAGACAAAAGTAAATTTTTCCGGCCGATCAGCGAGATTACGACGAGATCTCCACGTCTCCGATCAAACAAAATCCATTCCATGTACGATGCTAAAGAAAATTTATTTACTTATTTATTCTTTTTATAGAAACAAACGCATAAACAAAGCAATCAAAACGATGAAGGTTGTGATTTTTATGTGCATAACTGATGTGGAGAGAGACTGATTTAAACATGCTTACGGCGACATGAAACGGCTACATCCATTCAGGCAAAGGGAAGGCGGGGCCTGTGGTCAAAATTCACAAAGGTAAATAAGTTATTTTATTAATTAAAATTAATGTTAAGAAAATAATATGATTAGTTGTTGATGAGATTTTGAGTTTATATTAAAATAATATTTAAAATAAAATAATTAAAGTTGATTTGATGTAGTGAAGTGATGGTTAATTAAGATCATATGAGTGAATGAATAGTGAATTATAGTGGATATGATATGTAAAAATGATTGTTTTGTATTATTTAATCGTATGAACAATATTAAGGATGGTAAGATTGATTGAAGTTGAAGTAGGTTTTGAGTATAGATTAAACGTGAGTGAAATATTTTGTAAACAAGTACCCCATAAATGTAGTTCATTTGGGCCCAAAAAATAATATCAATTAAAAGGAGAGCAAGTAGATAAAAAGAAACACTTAGTAAAAATGTGACATAGCGAATAAAGTGACGTAGCGAAAACGCAAACGATTGGGAGAATAAAATGGAACTCTCAATATATTTTATGCCAATCAAAACTCAACTCTCCTTCATAAAATATAATGAGAGTGCTAAATAGATCTCTAAGAAACATACTTACCATAAACTTAAACTCCTAAGAAATCTCTAATTAAATAATTCCCTATAACATAACTAAATAAATTAAACAACAGTAAGATAAAAATAAATATAAAAATTAATAATGTCAAACGATCATGCTTGTCCAGAGAAGTCAACGCAATCTCGTCGCCATTATTCCCTCCCTTATGAAAAGGATTCGACCTCGAATCCGACGCAATCTCATTTCCACTGGAATTATCACGATGGGAAGGCAACAAATGCTAAACATTAAACGCGTCCGATGTTCGAATGTCAGATGACACCGTTGCGCAATCTCGTTTCCCTGTTCAATTCTTCCTGACTGGTTTTACTCCTAGGTCCGATTCTAACTCTCAATTCTCTGACCCTAGTATTTAACTTGATTGTTTTCTCATTAAGCGGTCGTATTCAATTCCGAGCCCACTCAACTCAGCTCGGATGTCAACATACAGATCTCGAACTAATCTCTCAATCAAACCTTTTAGTTCTTTGAAATTTTAGGTGGTATGACGTAGTCTCTATTAAGTGGATAGTACACCTCCAGCCGACCCTTCTAGGGCTTCACTCCTTAAGGGTATTGGCCTAGGCCCGATAAAACAATCTGAGAGAACCTTTTCTCTCTATCACCCCAAAGACATGACGCCTATGATCCGTAAGCAGACTGTATCGATCAACCCTCTACCCTAACTTCTAGCTTTTGTCTTATCTTTTTTCCGCGTCCGCCCCAACCTCATCTCTTCAACTTGGTGACATTATTCTACTTTTTGTCCTTTTCTCATTTTGCATCAGGCTAGAGAAAGACAACTTTTACTTCTGCATATTGATGTACTTAGAGATGCTCTTAAAAAACTCATCATAAGACCTTGTGGGTCGCTTCAAAAGAAAATTCTGGAATGGACCAGGTCATAATACCCTAGTAAGTCCCCCCGTCTTCACTTCTTCTGCTGTTGATGACACAATAACACACTCCTCGATGTAGTAAGCTACAAATCTCGCAATGACTCCTTTTTTTTATTGCATGTGGATGAGTGTTATGAATGTTTTTTCATGTTTACGGGTCTTGGATAATTGATTTATAAAGGATAAATTAGTTAAAGTCTCTTAAATAATGTACAAACCTCGCGGGTAATTGGTAGAACTAGTCTTGAGCAGATCCATTTAACGTGGCAAAAAATGATCTACAATAGATTGGGTTGCTATATTTGTGCAGGACGACCATGTTCTTAAAGCCTCTGAGATGTCTGGTTGGGTCAGTAGACCCATCATACGTGAGAGTGAGCTATCAAAACCAATAGGGCATGTCTACATCTAATACCTCATATGAAAAAAGTTTCCCTTGTAGACACGTGAAGCTTGTTGTCCTTTGATTTTCTCTTATATCTCGTGTATCTAGGTAGGCACGCGATCTAAGGTCGGATCTCTATATGCTTGTGAAGTAACACTAGAAATTAATCGACTGTTCCGGCTCTTCTTCCATTCTCCTCACCATTAGAAAGCGTTAGTTCGAGTAATCTGGATGGTCTACTCCCAAGAGGATCGACAGTTGTTTCCCTCTCTGTTGGCCCTATTTACTTCGCATGAACTGTAATTCCCTCGTCGCCTTCTTCGGCATCTGCGCCTTGCGCAGATCCTAGGCCTAACTGTGGATGCTCTTCCATCCTTCTATCCTGAGTTGCTTTCTTTTGGGACCTGAGATGCGTCCCTTGGAGACAAAACGCCTCGCTAACCAGCGTTTGTGGCGTCTCACCACTACTGTTTCATCCTCGAGTGGACCGGTACCCATGAGTTGCTTTCCCAACCGAGTGTCATTGTAGTCACGCTCTGTGTTGTTACCTTCGTCTGCTTCCATTGATATCAACAAGAATTTTCGTAGGACTTGTGATAATTACATTCATATCTCATGCTTCAATAGAACTGGATTCTCCACATATATCGCCAATTTGATAGGGATAAATCAGATAAACACAGTTTTGGTGATTAATTCTTAGTGGATCTATATGACTCATTTGACCTTCTCGTTTGAGAACTTGAAAAGCGTCAGAAGAGTTCCCGACGTAGAGTCTCTTACAATCAAGCCAACCCCTATTTTGTTAAGATCTAAGGTGTATTCGAAGTGTGATAATGCATAAATCAATGGTGAATCATATAGAAGATGGGGTTACTTGGTTCCCCAAGACTTATATTTCTCTAAAGAAACTAGATATTCACATACTTTCTTAAGATGGATATCTTTCTATATTTCCCAGATTCTTAGGATACTTACAATTATATCAATATAGGTGTCTTGTAACCAAATCCTCTATCAGCTTTCTATCTCAAGTCAGGCATACTCATCTCGTACTAGCTCACCAGTCAAGGATGTTGAGGTTCGAGCTGAACTGGGTGGGCTCAGAGTTAAACACAACCATTCAATGAAGAAATAGCCGAGCCGAATACCCGAGTCGAAAGATTGAAAGTAAAAACTGAACTCGGGAGTCAAAATAGCCGATACCGAACGAGAATCAAGCAGGATACCCAGGTGAGTAGCCTTAAGTATAAGGTCGAGCATAAAATTATCCAAGCCAATAGAGTCGATCTCGGGACTTGGATAAAATGATCTGAAAATTGGCATCGAAGATCCAAACTTAGTGCACCATAGCGGCAGAAAATGTTAAAATAACGACTACTTGTAGCCTAACGATGAAGGATGAGACAAGCCAACCAAGAACCTGCCAGGCTACGCGCCAAAGCCTTTTAGGGTAACATGTCAATTAAATGCGTGTCTTGTCCATTTAATGTTTGGTGTGGTGCCCGATGAACAATACACGGGCCATCTTTACTGAAAATAGTCTTAGGAATCAATTGTAAAAGGGTTTAGAGAAGTCTTTGCACTCAAGACATATATTTTCATACGAAATTAATACGCGCACCCAAGCTCTTAACCTCGAATCCGACCTCATATTCCTTTAACTTCTTAGCGATTTTTTTTATTTGAAACAATTTAAACATCTTACTATTAACAATAAATTCAATGCTATCGGTCGAACGAATATGTTGGTCAACAAAAGACCCATGTCGCCTAGACCAAAGTTGTCCACCCGACCTCCAACGTCCAGATGCTCACGTCGCAGACCTATCTCTTTTTGAGTCGATCTAATGTAGCATCGAACTTGAGCTGAACCATGAAAGCTCTGGCTCTGAATAGAGCACTCGATGCAATATCACAAAGAAAGAGTAACTAAAATAATAATTGAAAT